TCTACTGAGACCGTACAGAACACCAAGTCTAAAATGTCTGCAAAAGCTGAAAACATGAACAAGTGTGTAGATCCTCTGCAGAAGTAACACTTTGGACAATTTAGAGACTCCAGTTTGCCAAACTGCATGGCTACTGACAAGTAGGGACATCCAGAGAGTATCCAAACAATATAGAGAGTGAAGAAATGAATTTCACCCAGAGAATTTAACAGAGCAGAGGGCAACAATCGAATTCACAGCTCTGGAGGTATGAAGTTACTATGTAACCCAGTAAACCACCCTGCTACATGTGTCATTTGTTGCCACTACATGACACTGTTTCACTAAAAGCAGCAATGAAGTTATGAAGGAGGCAATAGATACATTGCAATATGTTGGGAGTGGAAGCAGTTAATCGAATAGGAAACAATACAGTGCGATATTTCTGCTTCATAAGGCTGATTCTCCATCTCTTGTAAAGACTGAAAAGCTGGAAAATAAATATCATATTTACATAAGAATACAATATAATCAGTCATACAGTTGCTATGGAGACATTGCTTCACTTGCATCCATTACAGGAAGTGAAAATATCTTCTGTATCTAAAGATGTTGTTATGTGAAAATTCCTGCAGGGGGCAACATTGTGGCACAAACATCCATTCTTCTATTTTATATGCTATTATTTAAACACGTCCCTAAGGCCTGACACTGCAGAGACATGTAGGTCCAGACCCTCAAAACAACAACCAGACAGACCGTTTACCTGATCTCCAGTGTACATAAATCTGTATGTTTATTGTGTTTGCAGATCAGTAATGAGACAAAGGCTGATTTTTTTTACTCCATTTCTCTTTGTTATGATTCATTCTCCTCCTAATTTGCTTATGAAGTTCAGAGGTCAACCTGAGCACAAGTGTAAAGAGCCTAGCTGAGCTGTAACAATACAGAATGTGCAGCTTTCTGATTCCCTTTCGGGTGTCCTACAATGAAGCCCTCAGTGAAAATAACATATAAAAATATCTGAGATATAAGACATCTTAAGATTCATAGGTTAAGAGGTTATTTATGGCATCGGTTCTGAACCAGGGGGGCCATGGCTCACTAGGGGCTCTCAGTGAGGACCAATGGGGGCTTTCTACGTTTGAAAAGCGTAGAAAAAATACAACATTGCTAAAGCTGGGGCTGGGCGGTATAGAATTTTTATGATATATTAATATTTTTTCAAAATGAGATAGGATGATACAATACCGCTTATATTGATATTCTATAAATGTGCGTAAGAAAATTAGCATTTATTAAAGATTTTTAATTGAATCCAATAGTATTTCTTCCTGGTTGTAAACAGTGCAAGGGCTTCGGTCATATCGCTGTGCAGAATCCCAGAATTCACAGCTAAAATCAAACCATTCAGTCAGTGTCTCACTGGGAAGCTGCTGGTGGAAAATGACGAGCTATCAGTATTAATTGGTTAATTTAGTATAAAAACATTACTTAAATATTGTAATTTGTAATATTTG